ATATAAAAAATATTTTAAAAAATAGCAAAAATAAATAAAAAACTTTAGCAATCTGTTTTCTCTGCTCTACCTCATTGTACATTTTTGTCACGTAATTTTCACATTTAATCTCCTGCCCCTTCTCCTGCCTCTGTTCAGCAATCACTAAGACAACTTTGTTTTTAAACAAAACAATGAGCCACCTCAAAAAGCTGCAGTTGTTTAAGTTTATATACCAAACCCAAAAAACTAAATCAAGGCAAAGAAAATCACTCTTCACTTTTCAGTTTTTACTTTTAGTCAACGAGGCAGAAGAAAAACTGAGATGAGGGGCAAAAATGCCATCTAGCTTAGAAAAGAAAGAGNTTTTCAGTTTTTACTTTTAGTCAACGAGGCAGAAGAAAAACTGAGATGAGGGGCAAAAATGCCATCTAGCTTAGAAAAGAAAGAGGCAGGGCCGGCAGAAAAAATAAACATAATCGGAAAAGTATATAATCAACTTGAAAAAGACTGATGGCAGGGATACAGAAAATGAGGAGGATCCAAAGGAAGATAGAGTGTAGATAGAAAAGAAAATGAACAAAAAAATAAAAGAAAGAATGACAGAGACATAGTGAGATNATACAGAAAATGAGGAGGATCCAAAGGAAGATAGAGTGTAGAGGAGAAAATGAACGAGAAAAATAGAAGAAAGAATGACGGAGACATAGTGAGGGAGAAAATCTAGGCTAACATGATTTACTTAATCACAAACAAATGATAGCTACCCTGCAAATTCTGTGCAGATTCCCAAATGGGCACTGTTCCATTGGGCCACCACCATTTAGTAGGAGTCCTATGAATCGATGAGAAAGCCACTTGAGTTGCTCTTCTTCTTTTCCTTTTGCTATTTATTTAATTCAGAACTTTTTCCACCTAAAAATGGAAATCGATTCAGCTTCACTTTATATGGACTGCATTGTACAGTTTAGTCCAACAAAAAGGGCCAAAGGGGGCAACTCTGGGACTTTTCTAGAGTGGAAATGGTGTTTCTCTCAATAAACAGTAGCCAGTCTTTAAAAACAAAAGCAAACTCTCTTTTTTTGCAAAGTGTAAGCTTAACTGAGCTTGTAGCACTATTAATCTAGCGAGAATCGGTCAAGAAGAGCTGAAACTCTGCCTTTCCTCTTTTCCCTTCTCCTCCTCCCGTCCAGTTTACTTACTTGATCGCCTCGACCATTGACAGGCCCATATGTACACAGAGGACCGCATGATCGGGTCGCTCCTGAGGCGCTCCACTGATGCAGTAATAACAATCGCCAAGAATCTTAATTCGTAGTTGATGATATTTCTGGCGGAGAAGAAAATAAAAAGGAGAAAATGAGTCTAAGGGAGTGATCCAATTTAGTGTGTGAGTGTGCGGTGTGTGAGTGAGTCAGTAAATTAGTTTCCGCTTTTTCCTTTTCTTTCTGTCTTCGTTTTTCTGTTTTCTATTTACTTTATCGCCAGGAAAAGCTCCTTTTGAAAGTGAGAAACTGTGTATGTGTGTGTGTGCGATCTAAGAGTGCATTAATTTAAATTAAAGGAGCCGAGAAAGCGTTTTTGTAATTAATTAAGCGACTCTTTTCCACTTTGTAGGACTATTTGGCAAATTATTTTTTTTAATTTTAGAGTAGCAACAAACATTAAATGTATTGTGATAATGAAAAACGCTACCTCGCTAGTCCTCTTTCTTATTTTCAATTACAGCGCAATTTACTTCAGAAAGTGAGAAGTTCAAACGTTCAAAGCAGGCGGAGACTAGTGAGGTAATGGAAATGTTGCCAACCAGAGCGTTGCCTATTTTACAGCTGTAGCACTTTTAACTTTTAAAAACCCTATTTTTATTTAGGTGCCTGCCAAAAAAAGATAGCACTTGCTTAATGAGCTGAAGTGATGAACAAAAGCTGATATAAAAAGATTAAAACTAGCAAGAATTTAAATGCGTAAAGACCGTTTTAATTATTTTAATTTAAAAGTTAATGAAGCATTAACTAGTGTGTACGTAAAGAATTTTTCTTACCTCACTAAGTTTATCAAATCTTGCAAAAAGTTCATTTAACGTTTTGACCAGCTCAGGGGCGCTAACCGTTGAGCTGAAGGCAGTGAAACCGACGATGTCGGCAAAAAGAATGCTGAAAAAAGTTGTAAAAGTGTTAAAAAATAAACTAACAAAATTTTAAAAGTTTATTACCTGACATTTTCATGTCGGCTGCGGGATGTTAAAAAGTGTAAAAATAAAAAGTGTTATCATTGTTTAATAATAGAGCAAATAATAGTTTTATCACCTCATATAAATTTTATGGAACTGTCCCTCAACGACGGCTCCCAAGTCTTTGCGAATTTCCACCGCCACGTGTTTTGGTAAAACAGATAGCAAAAGGCGTTCCTGAAAAAAGAAGTGTTGATGGGACATAAACATTAGTGAAAATGGGTTGTACACAGCCTTCTAGTCAAGTTCTTTTCTCTTTATTCTCATTTAATCTAAGTGAAATCATGAAGGTAATAATAAAATTATGGTAGAAAAATTTTCACAAAACAGCTAAGTGAATTAATTTCATATTCTCTTGTGCTTTTGCATATTAAAGCTTTTTCTAGCTTTATTCATTTTTTTCTATAGTGAATCTCTCTAGTTTACTCAACTACTTTTGTTTGCGTGCAAACCTGATAATTTATTTTAATCTTTTTTGTCTAGCCTAGCTTAGAAAATTTCTAGACAAGTTTTTTTACTTAACACCATCAAACAAAAACAATATAATAGTGCATTTTTATTATTATCTTAATAAAAACTGGATTCTTTTTAATTAAACAATTTTTATAAACAAAAAGATTATTAATTTACTCTAAATCTGAAATTAACAATTTCAAAAACATTAAAATGATGTAGCAGTCACTTTTTCTACATCAATTAAAAAGTGTTTTACAGCATCACTAAAGAGCTTATTTTTAAACTCAAAGGTCACCTAATTAAAGTTTTTAACAATTTAACAAAGGAAAATCTTTAAAAAAGTTTCATTTTTAAGAAATGTGTAACTTACCTGCTCTTCGCTTTCTTCTTCTAGAATTATTTTAGCCTCCAGACTTTGTCTGGCCTCGAGGAAGGCACGTCTTTGTTGTCGTTCGTAGAAAAAGAAAGACATCATACTGAGCACATTGACGCAGATGATCAATAGAATATTGGCCAAAATCTATACAAAGCAAGGAAGAAGAAAAAGAGAAGAAGAAGAAAAGAAGAGACAAGTGAAAAGTCAATAATGGCAGAAGAGAAGAAGAAGAAAAAGTCAGGACTATAAATTATTTGGCCCTGTTTGTTTGCTGGCAGCGGCACAGTAGAGCCCACTCACTTGATTAATAAACTTGTAGGACTTTGAGGCGGAGAGGATGACCTCGAGCAGGTAGAGGGCGGCCATTGCCCAGCTGAGCGCGCTGAGGTGGCGAAACCGCAGCGGGAAGATAACATATGTGGAGTAGGTGTAGAGCAGCAGCCAGACCATGGAGCCGCCGCCTGCCTCGGGCGGGCCCACGCCCCCGCTGTACGTCCACAGATCACAGACCACCTGGACGAGCATCACCGCCCACAGGACGAAGGGGATGGCCGACCAGAGGCGGCGAGAGGCGACGCCCTCTGACGACCGGCGCAGACAGAGCACGCAGAGGAGGAGGACGGTGGCGAGGCAGGCGCCGACAATGGACAGGTGGCGGATGGAGGCGGAGGAGGCGAGGTTGGGCGCCGTCTTGCCGCAGACGCAGGCGAGGATGTGCAGGAGGAGGATGACGGCGTTCACCAGAATCACTATGAGGATCAGAGCCTGAAAGTCGGACCGCTTCTCATTGCTGTAGTACTCGTGATAGAGGTTCTCCGCCTCGTGGTCGGCAAAGGTGAAGTGCATGAACTTGGGCAGAAACCGCTGAAAGCCGCCGTGGTCGATGGACAGGTCAGTGTCGCCTCTGGTGAGCATCACCGAGTGCCTCTTTGTGCCGCCGCCGCAGCCGGGGCCACCGGCGAACCTGGCAGAGCCGCCAGCGGCAGAGGTGGTGGGCGCCGAGCCGTTGGAGCTGTTGTCCATCAGCGGCGAGGAATGATCACAGGCTTTGTGGTGGTGATTGACCTCGTTGGGGGCGGCGCCGTAGGCAGTGTGGTCACCGTTGGCTGGCTTCAGACGCTCGCACTCCTCGGGGTCGTGAGGGACTGAGGCCGCCGTCGTCACCGCCATTTGCATGTCGGCGCCGGACGACTTGCCCGCCGCACTGCTGTGACCACCACCACCACCACCACCACCGCCGGCAGACAGGATTGTGACAGATGAGTTGCCATTGGCGGACATGGAAGTGAGCGGTAACTCGTCAGGAGGCGTGTCGTTTGTGCCCATCCTGCCAAGTGATGGCTGATGGCGGAGGTGTTTGGGATTACAGTCACCAGCTTTGCTGTGACTGCTGAGGATGCTGCTGGTGCTGGTGCCTTGAGCAGGTGACAGGGTCTTCGGCGCCTGATGATGATGATGAGCAGGAGAAGGAGGAGGAGGAGGAGAAGGTAAAGTAGGAAGGAGCGGATAATGAGGTCGTTAATCTGGCCAAACCAAACATCAGCACACCAAGTTGAGCCATTTTATAGCTTTACTTCAGTTGATTGCAAAGTCAACATTGATTTGTCTGCAAAATAACAAAATTTATTGTAAATTGTTAATGTGTTTATTTTTTAAAATAAGCTTTTTCAAAAAATTTAACATTATCACATTCAACTATTGTAGTGTAGATTACAGTTTTCAAAAAATTGCATTTTATAAATGCACAGTGCACACATTGAAAGCTCTAGTTCCGTTCTCAGACTATTTCAATGTTAATTCCTCTTTTGATATTTTTCAATCTGTCAGTTGTACCAAATTGAATTCTATACTATTTAATCTATCTAAGCACATTGTCGAATTGATTGATTCAGCTAAATAAAATTGAAAATGCAAATGGAAAAGAAATGCAAATAGAAACAAATTTAGCTGGCTATTTGATTAAAAAATAACACTATTATATCTTGTGTAAATATAAACGTTTTTATATTTTCAACATATTTTTAAAATTAACACAATTAGTATTTGGGTTTTTATATAATGTGCTAGTTAATAAATAAAAATATTATACGGTTTTTTAAATTTAATAATAAATTGAAATTTGTGAAACGTGCGGCAACGCTATAAATGTGATGCGTTAAATAAAGATGAAAAGCAAATACTTTGAGAAGATGATCCATTAAGTAAAGCAATAAATCAAAAACTAATTTAATAAAAAATGGTTTTTTATAGTTTGAGTTTAAAAAATTAGAGTACAAGGATAATAAACTTGCTAAAATCACCAAAAATATTTCAATATAATATCGTTAACCTCTAAATACGATGCCTGTCAATGAATCAAATATTCCTATTCGGCCATCTAATCTTTTTTCTGCGCAGTTTTCTCAATCAGCACTGGAATCAATAGCTAAATTCGATCAAGCAATCGATCGTTGGTCAATACTGGTCGTCAGTTTTCAGGAGAAAAATATCTAACACAAACTGCACACAGGGCTAAAGTTGTTAAAGCAACTTTGACCAGTCATGCAGTGTGCTCCAATAAAAAGACCGAAGAGACGTCCGAGGAACGTGTGACTATTCTCGTCTTCGTCAAAGACTCTTTCTCACTGTGACAATCATTTGAAGGGACGCACCCAATGAGCAATGAGCAAAATCGATGAAAATTGGAAGCAAATTGATTAGGCTGGGTCCCGTCTAGTCAGCCTAATTGTCGACACATTCTTGCCATGGTCGTCAGTGAGTGGAAGAGCAAAGGACAATTCCCCGTGCTGGGATTTGAGCTGAATGAAGTGAATGGAAGGAGTAGCATGAGGGAGACTGTTGTTTAATGTTCCTTTAATTTATGTTTGTGTCGCCAATTTGTACGGGCACTGTTTTAGTAGGAAAAGAGGTTCCAGTCACAGCAGCGACAGCGACTATGCGGATCAAAAAGAAGGCGACAGATAAAGGCGACAGTGAAAGTCTGTGTGACAAAGCTGCAGCTACGACTGGCCAAACGCACCCTAAACCCATTAGTGCCCAGCTTAATGACTCTAATCGCTCTTGGGACAGTGGTGCTTGCAAAACGAAAAAAAAGGCAGAAAAAAGAGAAGGGAAACAGTGTACAAGAACGGCAACGGAAAATGGACAACTGCCCGGTTTGGGGGCAAACAGCAGCAGCAGCAGCAGCACTCCAACAACCTTCTTCCTTCCTCCCCCGAAACCTCACCAACACTCTATCTCCTTCTGCTCTCATCATTTTTGTGCTTCACCCTAATGTCCACCCTCTGAGTTTAGTCTTTCTCCGACAAACCATGGTCGTCGTCTTCATGTGCCACTTTTACTTTGTCACACTTCGCTCATTTTTATCCCAATTTTGTCAAATTGTTCTCCTTTTTTTCTCTCGCACTGTCTGTTGTTTTCTATTCATTCACTATTAATTTACTGGGTCACTTCTGGCGGATGTTTTTCAATAAAAAATATTGCCTACTGCTGTTTCAGCAGTAGCTGATAAATTACCGCTTTTGAAAAGGAGATAGACTGGAAATATATGACAAAAGAAAACTAATTACTTATAAAATGAAAAAGAAAGAGACTGATCAAAAGAATAGAGTTATGTGACAAAATAAAAGACAATTTCAAAAAAATAATCAAACTTGTAATTTAAAATGTTTAATTTTATTTTAAATTTTTTATAAGTTCATTATTGTGATCTAATTTTTTAAGTTTTGCAGCAATTTTCTTGTCTGCTTTGCAAATAAACAAAAATAATAAATTACCTCTTTTTTGGCAAAAACGAGAAGAATTTAAACAGTCATTAAGATAAATAGATGTTTGCAGTTTTTTTGAGACAAAATTTACAATTTTTGTCTCTACGTTCACCTTCAGCAGTAAAGAGCAACGAAAATTAGCTCAATTGCTAAACAGGAAAAGACACTTTTATCAGCGGTGTTGTTTATAAATAAATAAACAGCGGCAGTACACGAAAATTAACGGCGAGAACAGCAAATCAGAGCCAAGGAGCAGACTGGCGCCAAAATAGTTGTCTTGGTTGGCATAGAAATGAACAGGCAAAACACTGACTGACTGAGGGCTCCGGAGACAGAAACAGACCGGAGAAGGAAGGAAGAAGGCCGCACAGACAGCTGGTCACGATGTACACGACAGCTGAACTTGAACGAGACTGAAAACAAGAAGTCGAAGTGTGATTGTGAAGTGAGTGAGCCAGAGAGAGAGAGAGAGCCAGTGAAGTGAGACCAAGAAAAGTGAGAGAATATTCGCGTAGTAGAGGTAACGTTGTTAGGCTGTGGTTCAGGAGAGAGGGCAGAGCGCCGTACAGGACACTGTACAGTGGCCCTGTCTGCAGACAGACGGCGGCAAATGTAGGATTCGCTCATTGCAAATTGCCACTACCCTTTCTCTCTCTCTCTCTCTCTCTCTCTCTCTCTCTCTCTCTCTCTGCCTCTGTGACTCTATTGTAATTCGGTAATACCACTGGATCATTGCTCTTTTCTCCGACACTTTCCGTCTGTCCATTTGTCGGCCTGGTGTGCGGTGAGTGCGGTCCTGGCGGTGCTGATGGTGGTCACCGCCAAAAGAGTCACTCACTTTTGGTTACTTTGCTATTCATTTCAGTCAGCAACTTGGTTGCCTGGCAGTTTGCGGTTTCACTTGATTTTTGGCCTGACAATCAGCTGACTGTATTTGTGAGTGTGAGTTTGTGATATTCAAAAACAGGCACAGTAAAAAATTAAAGTTTTTTATTGTGAAAGTTTTTTTTATTAAATCTCAGCTTTATTGTTATAGATTGACTAAGATTGCAAGAAAGTAACCAAGATTGACAAAAGTTTAGGAAAGTTGTAAGAAAAGAAAAAATGAGCAACATGACTTTTTTAGTGCTTGCCTGTGATAAAATACGAGCTGCCTTTATTGTTTTGCCTCCCTGTTCCGTGCTTTTATGTATCTTTTATGGCTTTTTTCAGACAACAACAAATGAGACTTTTGGTAGATGACTTTTTCTGTGCTAAAAAAGATGAAAAGGAAAAAGATTTCCTTTTCAATATAATAAATTTTGAAATTAAGTTGGCAATTGTTTGACAAAAAGAATCTGATTCAATGTTTCAAAGTCAAAATTTTATACAAACTGATGTATTCTGACTCATTTGACAGTTCACTTTTTCACATAAAAGACAAGCAACAAAGTATTAACAATTATTATCATAATCAGATAAACCAGCATTATGAAAATGATAACAAATAAATAATTCATCTGTATTGCTTAGTCACCATTCTAAGCTATTAAATCATAATATTTCCAATCTGGGCAAACCGCATTAAAAATTTGTTTAAAATATTCAATCGTTTTATTTTTCTTCTGGAACATGATAGTTTGCTATCCTTTTTCATACTTCAGTTTTAATTTACAGCGCTCTAAAAATAAGTGCTCGTCTTAACTCGACACAAACAGTTTGGCAGTTGTTGAGTTATTAGGCAGACGACCTACAGAAAAACCCAAAAATAACTACATGAAAATGAGGCAAAAGTGGATACATTTTAAAAGATGCTTGGCAATGAACCAGATGCAAAAAAGTTGTGCAAGTATACACTATTCAGCAAAAATTTACCAAATTTTTAAAAAGTAAAAGTTTTTTACGCAAATGTCAAATAAAATTAACTAGTAAAAAGGCTACATTTAGTAAATTAAACAAATCAGCAAAGTATTCAAAGTTCTAGTAGTTTTAGTCCAGTCAAAAATTAAATTAAGCAAAATTAACCCAAATTAATGGTAAACCAAAAAATAAAAACAATGCTTACAAACTTTTAATTAATTAAGTCAGCAACAATAAAATGTAATAAAAGTCATGGTTTGTAATAAAAAAACAAAATTAAATTAACTGATTTGAACAACAAGCTTAAAACTAGATTAAATTACTAAAAAACTAGTAACAGGAAATTATTTTGATTTTTAATTTTGTTAATTTGTTTTTATTTAAAACGAGATTGTTTTTGTTTAAATAATTAAAATTACAAACAATATATTTGTTTTGAAAATCTACTAAAAAGCAATGTTCAATATTAAAAATTGTATACTTTTTGTTTATATTGTATCATTTTGAAATACAGAAGAAAGTCCATTAACATTTTAAAACAAAGTATAACTTTAGTTTCAAGCAACACTTTTTGCTAAAAATGGATAATTTAAAAGTACAGCAAAATAAAAAGCAGTTTTAACTTTTTAAAACAAGATTTCAATTTAAAAAGTCAATTTAAGTATGCTTAGAATTGAAAAAAAGAAACATTTAATAAAATATGTGTAAATAAAGCATTTTTAAAATTTTAAAAAATTGTTATGTTTTGAACTTGTGGTTAGTTGCTGGTTTAAATTAATAAAAATAAGACAAAACAATTAAAAAATGTTAACAAATTTTTAAAAAATATTAAAAAACAGTTCTGTTTGACTTGTTTATCAGCAAAACAATAAACAATATTGTGGATTTTTAAAACATTTTTAAAACAAAAATTTAATAATTTAAAAATTAAAAAGGAAAAAATTAATTTAATTGT